CGTTCGGGGCCACACAGGGTGGGGCACAAGTAAGCGGTTCATCCATATGATCCTGGTCAGCCATTTGCAAATCTCCCGTGTGGTCTATGCCTTGCGGGGTTAAATGCAGTCCGAGCTGATCATGTCCCAGRCCCTCAGCGTTCGGGGCCACATCGTGAGTAGGGACTGTCGTTGGGAGTGTACTCTGGGCAGGGACCATATCCTGTTGCACAGCTGGGGGACAAACGAACATGGAAGGGCATAAAACATGGTGCTGTGGCTGTATATATGTATATATATATATATATATATATATATATATATATATATATATATTGTCACATCATATATATATATCGTCATTTTATAAAATTGGAAGGAAGGCCTTCTTCTCCTTGGGTTTAAACTTCAAAATGTTGGGGGGTGGAGAGTCTAGAGACCATACACAGGGGTCCATTCGCTCGTCCATATTTTCATGTGCCATTTCAGGGAGGGGAAAGAGACCTCCATACCCCTCAATATTCTCTGCATCTTTCCTTGCTGCACCAAGTTCCAGTCTTCCATCTCTGTGTGTGGATCTTTGAGTCGTTGCCTCCAACATTTTTAAACTGGCACCATCAATGACCATCATCTTCACCTGAATAGAATGCCTGGTCATCACAGCTGTATTTGGGGCAATTTTCAGACTAGATACAGCGCTAATTACCGGGTGAAGACGGTAGGCCGAGGTTGATTTGTAAGTAATGACACCCCTTGAGTTGCTTTCTCTAAGCGCACAGTAAGTCCGCATACTCATACGAGGACGTTTTGGACTGAGCTCTGGACAATGGACATGATTGCCGTCAGATGCACCCAGGTCTGGTCGTAATTGTGGTCAGATACATTTAGAAAAGTGTTTGTGATCTTGTGAAAGTGCTTGTGCTCGTGTGCCCAAACTCCGTTTGAGGCTAATTCTCTAAAAGCGCATATTCACACAAGGACTCTTTGGACTGAACTCTGGACATGATTGCGGTCACGTGCACCCACCCAACTCTGGCTGTAATCGCAGTCAGATACATTTAGGATAGTGCTTGTGTGAGTGCGCGCCCAAATTCCTCCTCCTCTTGATTTCCAGCTGTTTTCTTGCTTATCCCATAAATGTTCGATCTGGCAAATACTACCATCGATTCAACCAAAAAAAAAAAAAAAAAAAAAAAAAAAAACATAGATGGCAAAAATAGTAAAATACTAAGAAAAAAAAAAAAACTTTCCCAGTAAGTGGTCCCATTAAGCACTCCCTCTTCTGAGGGCCCACCCTCCATTCCATCCATAGTCTCTCCTCCCCTTCTCGTCGTTCTCGTCCTTCGTTGACGGGTTCCCAAGGATGGATACAGGACTCCCCACTCCTTCAATCAATCTGCTGACCTGCAATTCGCAAACCTTGTGCATCTTTCAGCTCCTGCAAAAAACTCGCAAATCCTTTCTTTTTTTTTTAACGGTTTCTCCGTTGCCGGGATCTCGCAAATCTCGCAAATGATTTTGCGGGAATGTTGTGGATGATCTTGTGAAGCTGCAGATCTCAATCTTGCTCATATTCTAAATCCTGCAAATCTTGGGGAAATCTTGAGAAGCTGCAGATCTCAATCTTGCAGTTTGCCGAAGCGAAATCTTTTTTAAGCCCAACCAATTCAATTACCTGTCGAATCTGGACAGGACGGCCTTACAGGCCTTTTTTTAATTGTCATTATACTATGATTATAGTATTATTATATGGGGAAACCCGTAGCACCCACATCCGTGCTCAAGCCTCCGACGAGGTAACATGTGGGAGCTGCACCCACCAGCAGGTGCGATACCTGCTACAGCAGGTGGGCGATACCAGCCAGGGGTCAGCTGGCAGCATCAGGACCGAGCTTCTTCAATGGCCCAGTCGCTGTGCCTCCCCTCCGGTCCCCTCCCCCTATGCACATTAGCATTCTCTGCTCAATGCCACTCGGGGGGACCAACGGCCTATCTCTAGGTGGTGGGTGCCAACTTCCAAGCTTGCCCGGGAAGGTACATGAGGCCAATGAGGATTGAACCCATGACCTCCTGAATGCCACTTGCGTGCCTTACCAGCTGAGCTAGGCCGCTGGATCAAAGCGAAATCTTGCGGGAACGGGAGATGATGATTCTCTTCTGAGAAGGAAAAGCGAAAAAAAGGAAAAACTTCAAAAAACAAATTTTGCAGGAACGTTGTGGATAATCTTGTGAAGCTGTGCAGATCTCAATCTCACGCATCTTCCAAATCCTTCAAATCTTGGGAAAATCTTGTAGTTTGCGAAAATCTTGCAGTTTGCAAAAATCTTGCCAGACTCAACATGCTGTTCTTTGCCAGACCATCTGACTGCTGTCATCTCACGTAGACTCGTCGAGCCAACGAAGCGGATCACGTGGCACAAAAAAATAATGGGTAGGGAAACAACATCCAGCAGGCGCAGGCAACAAACACGAAGGGATGCAGCAGCAGCCACATTCAGCTCCAGATCAATGGCAGCGCATACTCCAATCTTATGGATGACGGCCACGTGGTGGAAAAGGTGGAGAGAATGCAGGAGTTGGCGGGATAATTCCCTCCCTCCCTCCCTCCCTCCCTCCCTCCCTCACTCGCTCACTTGATGCCATCTTGCCCTGTAGCTCTGCCGATATCTTTGCATCTACTGATTAATCGATCAATGGTTCCTTGTCGACAACCCCAAGGTACAAGCTGCCAGGACCACCGAGGAGGCATAATCAGCCCCAGATAGAAGTCAGCAGCTGCGTCTGTTGTTTTTACAAATGGCTGCGGCGCGGTGAAGACGGCGGAGAGACTGGGGGGGTTGGAGGGAGAATCCCCTCCTTCATTGACATCTCATAGATAGCAATCGCTGCCAATACCTTTGCATCTGCCGAACTCCTCCACAATCGCTCATAAGGCACAACGTGGACTTTGATTAGCTCGCCATGGTCCCGTAATCCAGTTTCTCGGCCTTGCAATTGCTCGATCACCTGCTCGATCACAGCCGTTCAAAGTAACATGCAATCACCCCACACAGCACAGCAAACACGCAATCGACAGAGGATTGATTCACAATAAATCACCACCGACTGAGTCTGAGTCGTCATATGAGAACAATTTTACAGTCGATTAAACACTCATCCAGTGATCGCATTGCCATCAGCGACTGACTGATTATCGAACCTGTGTTCATGGAACCATCACTGAATGATCATCGAACCATCATCGTTCTCACCACAAGTATCACAACTCAATAAGATCCCATGCGATTCGAGATAAAGAAAGAGGAACACAGTGAAACTGGATAAGGGTAATTACTAATTAGTAATTATTATTTACTACTGATAAATGTCAGAATCCTCCATTTAAAAAAAAAAAGAACAAAAAAAGAAAAAGATACTCCTCCATTTCAGATAGGGGTCATTAAGTCTGATGGAACAGTTGTTATATGAACTTATATCCATCAGAGACTGCCAAGAGAGACAAACAGAAGAAGGCGGAAGTAACTCACACAACTATTGCAAGGAAAATAAGCAACAGCAAGATGACAATCCCAGATAACACCATCACATTGCAAGTCAAATAGTCACACCGTGTCCAGATAGCAGCATTGCACCAATAATACACCAATGGAGTTTCGTAGCACTAAAAACCAATGTTTATGGAGAGCACACTCTCTCCTCTTCAACACAAGTATCCAGTTCCCTTACACTCACACTTGGCGCTCAGCGCCCAGCCTACTTCTACACAGCTACTACAGACTACAAAAAGACAATGCAACTGTTGACATCAGCAGCAGCCCGAAGTACTTGAAGATGCCGCCCATGCAGACCATCGCCAATACAAGGTACGTGCCCTCACATCATCATCATCATCATTATCCTTCACCTATCCCCTGACTTCACYCACACCTGTCCTCTCTGACACCCGAAGAACCACCCCTGCGCCTCACTCTGTCCAAGCCAAGCCCGCTATGGAGGCTGGCTATGGTGCTGTCCTCAGCAGCGCCCTGTTCCCCTACACGACCGCACGTGTGTTGCCCCTTGCTCCTCTGCCGGCAGTCAGCCTGCGAGCTTTTGCTCCAGCAGCGCTGCCGCCCAGCCAGCAAGTGACCGAATGAGCTGCCTGGCCAGAGCTCTTTCCTTTATGGAAAAGAGCTGGCCAGCTCTCGCAGCCTGGCTGGGCTGGCCTGGGCCCAGCAGCTTCCGGAAGGCCCCAGGATGCTGTCTGGATGCAGCAGCTACTGGGCTGCTGGGCCTCATTCGGTTGGGCGCCCAACTGTCTCTGTATGAGGCTGCGAATCATGCCCAGGGCCTGCATTCTTTGGAAAGGCCCGGTAGGCCGTGGAAATGTTTCTGTACTCGGCCTGTGTTTCTTTCAACCAACTGGCGCGTCGCAACTGCCTGGACCCCAAATATGAAATTGACAGTCGAGGGCCTCTTGCAAAAAGCCAGGCCCGCCTTCACTTAGGGCGGGCACCTCCACCTTCACTTAGGGCGGGTAAGGCTGCAGACAGGGCCCCGTAGGCCTACCGAGGACACTGATCCTCGCACTATGAACAATGTGAAAATCGTCAACGAACCGAAAGCGTGTTCTGTCAAACCACCAGTTCACATGAACCTAAGTAGTGCTCTTTTCAAAAAAAAAATTGCAATTAGTTAGTATGGTCTGCACTCTATGAATTGCTGGTAAGTTTGGATAAAATGACTCTTGGAGTCTTGGGTTTAAAATTTTAAATTTGTTATAAATGGCAACACAAGTTGTCTGACAATTTAGGTCTCCGTTAACCATCTCTCTGCTCTTACTGGTAGAGACTATGCGGTAAGCGCATTTCGATCCGGGCCCGGGCCCGTAGCAAAAGCGGAAGGCCACTCTGACAAGGCGCAGTTGCAGGCTCACGAGCTTTGGAAGGTAGCTTTGTGAACTCACGCTCGTGTCAACTATTGGTTCAAACAACCACCAGCTCTCCAAAAAAAAAAAAAAAAAAAAAAAAAAAAGGTTCCCTTCAGGTGCCAGTATTGGCTCCTATGGAAGGGTAAAGAGTCAAAAGACTCAAAGAGACTAGGTACTCACCTCTATGGAAGGGTAATGAGACTAAGTACGCAGCTCTATGGAAGGGCAATGAGACCAAGTGGTCACCTCTATGGAAGGGTAATGAGATTAAGTACTCACCTATGTGGAAGGGTAATGGGACAAAGTACTCACCTCTATGGAAGGGTAAGAACTTAGAAGACTTAAGTACTCACCTGAGTCACCTCTATGGAAAGGTAATGACACCAAGTACTCAACTCTATGGAAGGGTAATGAGACCAAGGACTCACCTCTATGGAAGGGTACTGAGACCAAGTACTCACCTGTATGGAAGGGTACTGAGATCAAGTACTCACCTCTATGGAAGGGTAACGAGACCAAGTACTCACCTCTATGGAAGGGTAATGAGTCTAAGTGCTCACCTCTTTGCTGACTTTTCCTCGATACAAGAAGAGTGTGATATCTTCGTCGCATCCACCCTGTCGGCCGTCAACACAGCACACACCCAAAAAGAAAAAGTTGAGTTTAACTGTCAGCTCTCTCCATCCATCCAACTCCTGACACCCACATTACTCATCCCATTCAGTTGTTCCATTCAACGCCACAGTCTCTGAGAAATGATTCACTGAAAATTTCACTCTTTCACACTGTTAAAAAGCTCACTAAGACTTGAGGAGGAGGAGGAGGAGGAGGAGGAGAAAGAAAGAAAACAGTTAGACTCAGCAGTCTTCTAGAAAGGCGAAGGCAGACTACACCTGAACAGCAAAACAACATCACACACGACACCAGTAGACCATGTCCATCAGATCAACATACATAGTAGGTTGTGCTAAGCGGTCGTCCTCCTCCGAATAAACATACCGTCATTTTAGCTGTATTTTGGGGGAACTTTCAGTCTAGATACAGCGATTATGACCATACGTTTTATTCGGGGGAAGACGGGGCAAGAACAGATCAGACCAGACCAGACCAGACCAGACCACACCACACCACACCGGATCATACCCAGACTAGAGTTCCTGTTGGGGTTTGTACAGCTGGCGATACAGGCGGATGGCTACCTTACATCTGTACATGGAACAGCAGTTGGTCTATGTACAGACTGCAGTTGGTCTATGTACAGCCAAGTGAGCCAGCGGTAGAAAGGGAGAGCGGGGTTGAGCATACAGACGGAACATGGTCCCTGGAAGCACTTGACCTAATAGACCAACGGCAGCTTCAAAGTGTTCACTGTCACTCACCGGGGAAGGAAACATCTTTCGACCCGTCGATTCATCAAGCAAGGCTGTGAGATCGACAAGCTCTGACGCACGGATGTGAATTCCAGTCTCCTCCTCAACCTGTCTGTGACAAAGAAGACATTCAGTTCGTTCACGGAAGTAAATATCCAGTCCTTCAGGATATCCGTTAAAATTAGAACGATACAGAGAAGGGTAATTAGCAAATGCCCCCTGCGCATTCAAGGATAACATGCATAAATCAACAAATGGTCCTCCCCCTCCCCTCCCCCCCCAAAAAAAAACAAAACAAAAAAAAACGGTACAAGCTCTGTTTGTTTGTTTGTTTGTTTGTTTGCTTGTTTGTTTTTCCGGCAGCAGATTCTCTTTGCACATCAAACCTCATGACAAGCGATACTAAGAAAAAAAAAAAGAAAAAAAAAAGTGCGGGCTAAACAGGCACGACGTCGAGGTGTGCAATGTGCATCTGCAGTGCATAAGCTGTTATAAGGCATGTACTGCCATGCAATAGACACCCACCTCCCTTGCAGCTGTCCCGACAAAGTCGCCCTCCCCATCATCCAGCATGCCAGCAGGAAGTTCCAAGATACTGCGGCCAACAGGAACTCGTGCCTGCACATGTGAAATGGACGCAAAGCTTTGTCAAGTCCAAATCTCATAAAAAGAATCAAAGAGGGCCTGCGATTCTCTGCAAATGGATAACAAATATAAATTGCGAAATGGTCCGGAAAAGAGGGGGCAAAAAAAAACACTGAAGAACTAATAAAAAGTGCAAACTTCAAATGAGCACAAAGTTCTACAGGAAATATTGCCTACACAATGTACACATGTTAAATGCAACCAAAGATTCGTCAATTGACAGAAGTCGACATCATTTATTAAATCAATTTATGAAATGTGTTAAAACTTAAAACTGCCAAGGAATATGAGCGATGCAATCAGACTCGCTTTCTTCTTTGCTTCGCATACATGCAAACAGATAGCAATTCACACTGGCGCCAAGCGCCCACTCAAAGCTCAGAGATATGGAAACCAAGAACACAGTTCAGATGCAAACTCGCTTCATCCGGCTATGGCGCATCAGCACCCGTACAACCAACTCTCGTCACTGTATCCAACACCACTGTTCGCACGTACTCAACTCTGGATCACCCTGAATACTCCACGCACACGTACTCTGTCTCACGCACACACACAAACTAACGTCTATCTCTAACCTATGGCGGCTATGGCCGCTCGCTACTATTACTATGGCTGCGCTATCTTCTTCCAGCCCACTTCAACTTCAGGCGCTCTGCAGACCACCTCGCACAAGACGCTGGGGCAGCACTTCCACATGGCTTACGCAGCGAATGAATGAATGGCTGCACACTGCCTCTTGATTTATACTTCTGTAACTCGTTGGTCTGCCCCTTTTCCACCGGGCCCTTGGTGCACACAGTTCCTCATAGTACTTGCTGACTGTACAAAGTGAGACTGGGACTGGGTACCACTGACTCAGCGAAGTTGGACTCCACCACTTGCCCACTTGCCTTTGTCTAAACGTGAGACACTTTCGAAAGGCCACTTCCGGACCTTCCGGAAGTCTGTGGACTTGGCCTTTCGAGTACTGTCGCAGCTACGACCTTGACCTTTCAGGACTGTAGCAGCTACGACTTTGACCTCTCAGAACAGCTACAGCTACGAGCTCTACAGAACTGTGACCCCTACTCGACAGATCTACAGATCGAACCCCTACCACTACACAGACCTACGACAGACCACAACCAACTACCGAAACACAGGTCAGGTCATGGGTTCAAACACTCAGGGGTCGACTCGATACTGTACATGGGTAAGGTAAGGTCTGGGGATCGAACCCTAGGGCCTGCATCTGTGACTGCAAAAGGTGAAAACCGTTTCAGTGAGAGCGATAGACAGAAATCCAAATTGCAAAATAACGAAGTAGTGCAGAGTAGTCATGTACCAAGCAGAGAGCAAGCACAGTGCACCAACATACCATCCAAATAAGACCAAATACAATGAACTCGAACGTCAATGCCGACGCTCTCTGGCCACACCAACGCTGTATCCAATGTTGCTCCTACTGTCTGGCACCCAGCACCCAACCTACACTACCCACCCAACCTACCTATCCTAGCTACGTTCATGCAACTGGAGCACATCGAAGTTGAAGACCGATGTACGTGATGTCATCACCGATGCTGACCGCCAGCATACACCAAGGTACGTTTCTCTCGCCTCTCCTCATCACTCCCTGTCTCCATCTGCATGCGCCTCACACCCAAAGACCACCATCACCATCACTGGCCTGCGCCCCAGCGGGCTGGCTATGGCCGCTGTGCGCCCGCTGCCACCCCAGCACCCCTCTCACCTCTTGCGCCCGCGTGCGTCTCCAGCCTGCCTGCTAGCGCAGCTACCGAATGGCAAAGCAGCAGCGTGGCCGCATTGCCTGCTCAGGCCAGAATGTCGTGCCCCTGGGCTCTCACGTTCCTATATGGAAAGTGTGCCCTGCCGCTGGCTGTCCTGGGCCTAGCGTGTAGGGGCCCCAGTAGCTTCAAGTTGGCCCAAAGTGTCTGCGCCCAGGGTCAGTTTCAGATACTGGCTTGCGCCTCGGGCAAGTTAGGCACGTCCAGGTAGCCCTCCCGGCTCCAAGTGTTTGCCGCATTCTCATTGGCTCGTGCTAGATGTGTGACGAGAATGCTGCATCCTTATTGGTCCGTGGCCGTTGCGTGATGTGCCGGCCTCCCACTGCGTGTGCCCAGGGCGCAACCACCTGATCCCTGTGCCCAACTGTACAGCGCAGCTGTTGCTTCTGGAAAAAGGAGCCACAGGAGACTGACGTCGCTGTGTAACCGATTGGCGTGCTGCAACTCTCTGGTAACCCACAAACGAAAAATGCGGAAAATAGGCTTCTCGTGGATACAGACCCACCTTCACTTAGGGCGGGCACGAGGCTTGCTCGGGGGCCACATTCCAGAACAGAACATTTGCATGCGTGAGAAGGGCCTCGCGAGGGTCATTCCTCGCAAAACTTAAAAGAGCAAACAAGGTTAAAGGGGAAAGACAGCAGTAGCACAAGTCTAAGGACCAAGGATGTTTTGCAGTCTAAAGAGACTCTAAAGACTCTAAAGACTCTAAAGACTCTAACGACTCTAACGTTCTGAACCAAGAGTTAAGACTCTTAAGAGCTACAAATCTGGAATCTAAACCAAGAGTCAAGAGCATAAGTCTGCGCATCTGAGATGGTTTACAGTCTAAACCAAGAGTCAAGAGGTACAAATCTGGAGAAAAGACGTTGCAGGGAGCATCACAATACAGAAAACTTTCGGCTGAGGGTCATTTCGAAATCGGCAAACAAACTCGAGGGAAAAAAAAAAATTCAAAACTGGAATTCAATTTATAACATTTTATACAAAATTTTGAATTCAACAAAACTGTTAAACCATATTTTTCTGGGTAGCTCCTGATCCAAACTGTCCCGTGTCCGGGTCTGCGTTAGCCATGGTGTGTTTCACTGTGTACTATTCAGTCATCAAAGGAAGTTCTCCAATACTAGTTTACCTTGTGCCTATTTCACTTCTTACGACTGTTTGACTCACTACATAAACACTTTGGGCACTTCACACCTCTAACAATTCCTACTTTCGGCAATTTGCACCCCTCTAACAATTCGTTCTTTCGTTCTTTTTTTTTTTTTTTTTTTTTTTTTTTTTWAAGCTCCGATCTATTCGTGGGGAGCGGCACRTGTTGGGAAACGGGCCCAACGTCCCTTATAAAAAGTAGATGAGGCCGGGGTCCTCACMGTCTACCCGGATGTAACAATGAATCACGAAGAAACCAATGTGAGAATGTTGATCTCTTGGAAGCTGGAGGGTAGAAAAGGATGAAGTAGGTTTTTACTACCATGAACTAAACCAGAGTGAGTAAGGTTACCGGGCCTTCTCAGTCTGGTTCCCCCTTTTCCGACTCCTCCTCTTTCCTCTCAGASCAGCCTATTTGGTCCGCCGGATATCCTTGTTGTAGCAGGAAAGAGACCCTCTGTTGCCTTGCCAAAACTGATCCCTACTCTCTGTGCCTTCCTGTCGTGTTTCTTAAAACCCTAAACCCTAAACCCTGCCTCTCATTTGGATTAATTTAGTGCATTCGCCTTTCGATTTTGCTTTCCCTATCTTTCTCCTATTCTTCTTCCACTCCCCTATTTCTCCCTCCTTGCGTCAGTCCGGTTCCTATTCCACCGGCAACTCGAAAAATAATACATCATGGCGAAACAACTCACGCTTCCTCCCGTCTTTCGTTCTTTTGTGCTTTCATTCTTTCCGCAATTTGCACCTCAAGCACCATACCACAGTAGAGCTGAGGAGACACTTCTTTTAAAACACCGCCAGAAGAGAAAAGAGAAGAGGAGAGTTGAGTAGCGGAGAGTAGAGGAGAGAAGAGGAGGGAACAGGAGAGGGGAGGGGAAGGGAGGGGAAGGGAGGAGAGGAGAGGAGAGAAGAGGAGAGGGGAGAGGAGGAGAGGAGAGGAGAGGAGAGACGAGTAGAGGACAGAAGAGGACGGAAGAGGACGGGAGAGGACGGAAGAGGACGGGAGAGGACGGGAGAGGAGGAGAGGACGGAAGAGAGACAAGGAGAGGACGGAAGAGGACGAAAGAGGACGGAAGAGAGACAAGGAGAGGACTGAAGAGGACGAAAGAGGACGGGAGAGGATGGAAGAGGACGGGAGAGGACGGGAGAGGAAGGGAGAGGAAGGGAGATGAGAGGAGAGGACAGGAGAGGACGGGAGACGAGAGGAGAGGACAGAAGAGGACGGGAGATGAGCGGAGAGGACAGGAGAGGACGGAACAGGGCGGAAGAGAGACGAGGAGAGGATGGAAGAGGACGGAAGAGGACGGGAGAGGACAGGACAGAAAAGGAGAAGAGAGAACAGGAGATGAGAGGAGAGGAGGGGAGAGGAGGGGAGAGAGGAGGAGAGGAGAGGAGATGAGAGGAGAGGAAGAGGAGAAGGGGGGAGAAGGGGGAAGAGAAGAGAAGAGAAGAGAAGAAAGAAAGAGGAGAAAAGAAAAGAAATAAAAAAGAAGAAAAGGAGCATGCACAAACTGAGAATAGTCCAAATTAAAACAAAAACAAACAAACAAACTAAGTTAACAAACACAAAACAATAACGAAATGAAAACGAAAAGCAACGATGGACTGCATGTGCACTGCACCTGATCTGTCAGAACGGCATATTTTCGGGAATCGCTTTCCAATAACATAAGAATCCCAACAGCACTTCCTCGTCCAAACACAATGCCAGGGAGCTGCAACAGAAAAATGAATGAAAGGACCAAGTCCGACCAACAAATGAGCAGCAGCCTACAATCTCCTCACATGATGAAGGGACTACGCGATTTGCTGTGCTGAACTGGGGTGGGCCAGGGGACGTAGCAACGCATAATCTTAATCTTTGCTGACATTGAGTGCACTGCCTAGAATTACATATTAGTTTCAAATTTCTCAAATTTCTCAAATTTCTCGAATTTCTCAAATTTCTCAAATTTGAAATTTCTCAAATTTCAAGGTTCCCCATCACGTAGGTGTAATTCAGCGTGAGTTGCCCACGGCCCTGTCTTGCCATAACAGCACACTTAGATGCTGTAAGAGAGAGAGAGAGAGAGAGAGAGAGAGAGAGAGAGAGAGAGAGAGAGAGAGAGAGAGAGAGAGAGAGAGAGAGAGAGAG